TTCATCCTTCTGCCTCAGTGAGTTTGTTGTTGCCAGAACCCAGGTGTATTTTGTGGTGACAGAGTCTGGGGGTCTCTTGTGGCTCCCCCAACCCAGAATTCACACTCCACATTGCTGTAAGAGCACCCTTTTGATTTATCATGGTGGCTGGAGCCACGCGCCAGGCCTGCATTTTTCAGGAACATGCTAATAAATTTTAAGCAGGAAATAAAAGGAAGGAGGCGTCTCGTTGGGAGATAGATTCTAGCCTTTAAAATACGGTGGGGCTATATTGGGATGTTTAAATCATCGCGCTCGGTAAATGTTGTATAGGAAATGGATGGCACTGGTTTGCTTTGATGAAAAATTCATTATTTGCCTCCAAAGAGGTAGGCATCTCTATTTAATTCTCAAAGTCCATTATTTAAGGTGAGCAGTCGACCGCGTCGCATCGGAGCACTAAAAAATGGCAGTTGTGTTTATTAAATCTATTAGTAGATGATTAGGAGCAATAAATCTATTTGTTCCCCACCCTGTTGGGAAGATTCAATATGTTCTTACCTAATTAACTGTGCATCACCACCGACAGTTGTGATGTACAGCATTGGTTGGCAGCTGGCTGCCCTCAGATGATGCAAGACTGTTCCTCCCATTTGACCCAGCCATAAGGGGTTCTGCCCGTAATGTCTGGATGGCCACCCATTGCTCATCTCTGTTTGACAGAGATGGCAAGGAATAGCTGTTTTGCAGAGTTTACCCTATTCTTTCAATGCAGTTGCATACTCAGAAGTGGTCTTCTGTCCTACATTATGAGGTGAAGGAATAGGGGATCAGCTGTTTTGTGGAGGCCAAGTGTCTGATAGGATCTGGATTAAAATTTTATTTTATTTTATTCGCCTGTTTCCATTGCTTTAACAGCTCAATTTCTCTTGTTTTGGACAACGTGCTCTTGCTTTCTGTTATGAGAGCAAGTTCTTTTCTGTGCCGGAAATGGTAAAAAAATTAATCAAGGTTCTTCTCTTCCACCCTTCCTCCTCCTCCCTCTCGTCTATTCTTTGTTGCAGTATATGCTAATCAGACATCAGAAAAGCTACATAAAGTTTTATGCTGCAATCATGTTCGGCGCTAAATTATCCTGGATGGCATCCATTAATTAAACAAAAGTTCTACAAGGAATTGCTTCTTTTTTTTAAAAAATAAAAATCTTTAGTGCTGTTCTAAGAGATATCTCCCCACATGGATGGATGCTTGGTCTGGCTGAAGTTACTGTGTTCTTTTGAGGTGACTTGCCTCCGAGGTAGGACAGCCAAGACCTAGGGATAATGTTGTTGTTGTTTAGTCGTTTAGCCGTGTCCGACTCTTCGTGACCCCATGGACCAGAGCATGCCAGGCCCTCCTGTCTTCCACTACCTCCCAGAGTTGGGTCAGATTCATGTTGGTCGCTTCAGTGACCCTGTTCAACCACCTCATCTTCTGTCGTCCCCTTCTCCTCTTGCCTTCACACTTTCCTAACATCAGGGTCTTTTCCAGGGAGAAACCACAACTTCCATCAGCCAGCAGGCATGGTGAGTAGACTATGCTGGCTGTTTATGATGGAACTTGTAGTCCACCCCTTTTAGAAGGCATCTGACTGGGGAAGGCTTCCGTCTGTCTGTTCCCATGTCTGTGGAATCTCATTCTTATGAAGGAGACTCTGCAAGGCTGGATTTGTGAGGTGCCCAAATTTGACTCTCTTTTTTTTGGTCATAAAAATAAGTTTTGTGGGATTGAGTTTTATTTCTCTGGAGAGGCATCGTACTGTCAAGTCAAGATGCCCTCCATGCATCTGGTGAAGCGGCCTGCTGCTCATGAAACATTATGCATATACAACGTGTTAAATCTTTAAGGTGTCTGCATGGTTTTTCCCCCCTTTGATTCAATTTCTCCATCATTGGTATTTGTTCATTTCTATTTCTATATTTGTTTATATCTAAGGATGCCCCCCACCCCCTGCTTGTATGCACACCCTCACATGGTGAGGGCATCCGAGTGTGTCAGACAAAATGGGAGCAGTGCAATGAGATGGCTTGAAACTCCCTTACGAGTCGGGTTTCCTCCCAGAGTTACCCAAGGCAGGAAAGAATGGGTTCCTTTGAAATAGGGTGATAGAGGAGAGTTTTGTGGACCCTCTGGTGAAATGGGTTGACTTCCTCGAGTCAGCCACAGGCTTGAATTTGCCAGAGACGTGCACGGCTGTTGAGGACATGACATTTTGGAGGTCACTCATTCATTGGATGGCCATAAATCGGAGGTGACTTGATCGCACATGACAACGACAACAACAACAGGGCGCCAGTAAAACAAAAAGGGTTTGGTGGAATAATGTTTGTTGATCTGTTCATAGCAATTGTTACAAGACAAAGCAGGGCAGTACTTTCAGCACCATGGACAGCACCAAATGAGCCCCTTTCCATGAAGAAACCTGGAGGAGACCTGATGAGTCTCCTCTTCCGGTCAAGACTTTCTGAGCTTCTCTTACATGCAGAAGATGAGGAGGATCAACTCTGTGGCCTTCAGGTGAGCGGTTCCTCCCCTCACGCTTGGGCCATGGGTTCTGTAGTTCAGGAAGAGCTTGACTTGGGTTTCTGGGGAGATGCTGAGTGAATATTGTGGCTTAGGTTAAACAAGCTCCAGAACATTGTGCTGGAGGGATTCCCGAACATCACCTTCAACATCAGAAAGCATTGGTCCAGTTCTTCAGACAGAGGCTTAAGAAATCCTTGGTTGGCTCTCTTTTAACTGTCTGGGGGCCCATGTCCAGAGATAGGACAACAAGGCCTGACATTCCCTGGTATGTCTTACTGTTAGAACGTAGCAGTCAGAGCTATGGATAAGGAGAATCCTAAATTTGAATTGCTGCTCTGGTTTCAGGTGGGATCTTGAGAAAATAACACTTCAAGCTTTTACGAGCCTTCATTTCAGGTTATTGTGAGGATAAAATGAGATAAAGCCATGGGCTTCCCCACAGTTTTCTTTGAACCAAGGGGTGGACACGAAGATGAGGAGAAGAGACGAAAAAAGGATCAAGAATAGGCAAGGATAGCTGTCCGAGGTTGGGAATAAGTCGTTCAGAAGCGGGTGAAGAGCGCTCCTCCAAGTATTCAAACAGAACCAGTCCAGCTGGTTCTGGCCAGAACAAGAGGGGATGAGTACAGGTCTGATGATGAGTTTGTGAAGCAGAAAGAGTCTTTTCCAAGGTAAGACTGTAAAAATAAAGAGAGTCCTACAGATTCTTAGCACAAGCCGGCCCTGAGTAGTGCTGATTGACTGGTGCCCATGACATCTCCAACCTATCCCCAGTCCCAGGGGTAATCTTGCATTTCTAGAAGTCTTTCCAGATTTTGGTTTAAGGATTCTCATTCCAAGCTCTTGCTAACCAGGATGTCCACCGTCCTTGGCATAACAGACTGCATAAGGCTCAAAGCCCACAACACTCTATGGAACGCTAGCTTTTTAGTGTGTGGTTTGTTCTAATCCAGCCACAAAGAACCTTACTTTAAAGGGTTTTTAAAAATCATGAACTCCAGCTGTGTCCTTCTGCTCTTCTTAAGTGACTTAATTTGTGACTTTGTCGGCTACTGCGTCTCAGTCTCCACTCAGAGATAACCGTCGCTGGGGTGGCAGAAATGAAACGGCATAGTTTTAAAACTTTAATATAGAGAGATATATTAAATATTTCATGTGACTAATTTTCATGCGCACGGCATGCGTTTCCCCTCCCTTGTGTTCCCAGGCCAATGCGCTTGAAAGCTGTTCTGCCACAAAGGGTTCCTGACCTGTGAACTGTAGAACTGCGTGCCGTCTCTTTCATGGCTTTATTAATGATGCCCAAGAAGGCTGACAGCCCAAGAGCGAACGGGGGTGTTTAGCATTAAAAAGGATGGTACTACCTGTCTGTCATGATGAGGCTCTCTTCTCTCTTAACGTGTTCATTTATGCGCTGGCGGAGATGACTGTTTTATCGCTTGAGTGGGAAATCATGCCTGGCCTCGGCTGCAGATCTGTTCAGCGAGGCCTCCTAGACGGGTCTTAGGAATTCTTTTTAGCAGCCCTTGCAGGTCAGAAGTGGGTGGGAATGGACCAGCCAGGCAGAACTCGAAAATGTTTGGGAATTTTTGTGTGTACGGAATTCATCTGGGGGATTACCTGATCCTTCTCTCATGGTTTGGGGTCCAACCCCCCTTGTCACTTGACTATTTGTCTGAAGGTCTTTTAAAATAATAGGAATAAACATGTTTTCATCCATTATTCTCTGTCCTCCTCTTTTGCTGCTACCCAACCTTTAGCAGCTCCCGTTTGTGTGTTTGCTGTTTCACCAAGGCCCTCATCGCACCCTCTGATGAGCCAACCCTGAGGCTCTACATCACTCAGCTTGAATGAACTTAATAAGATTTTATTTAAGTACAGTAACAGTATCCGAAGCAATGCTGTTTGTTCCTGTGCTCTGAATTCAATCCATACAATTCTTCACTCTCTCAATCACCTCTCCCCCCCCTTATATTGTTATTTGGGTTCTTAAAAATGACACTTTGCCCGATCATGGTCAACAAATTTTGACATGTTCAACAGATTTTTTGATAATTTGTTCCCACACTTGCTGAGCTCGGTCACCCCCTGTGACGTCCTTTAGGGAGCCGGTCCATCTCGTGTTTGATCTTCCTCTTTTCCTGCTGCCTTCCACTTTTCCCAGCCTGATGGTCTTTTCCAGAGAGCTTTGTCTTTTCAGGATGTGTCCCAAAGGAGGACAGCCTCAGCTTTCAACCTTTTTGTCTCCAGAGAGAGAGAGAGAGAGAGATCAGACTCGACTTGATTTAGACACTCGTTCGTCTTTCTGGCAGTCCAGGGAATCCGCAAGGCTCTCCTCCGGCACTATATTTTAAACAAACCAACTTTTTCCCTGTCAACTTTCTTTTTACTGTCCAGCTTTCTCACCTGTATGCATATCCTGTTCAGGAATACTCTTGTCTGTTTTTGTCTTTCAGAAGCCTTTGAGATCGTGGTGCGACACGCGAAAAACTACACCACCTCCATGTTTAGGAACTACTATCGGAATATGGCCACCCGAGCATTTCTGTTTGTGGGGAACTTTTTTACCGACATCTCGTCGTACGTCTTGGGCTCGGATATCCACGTCAACGACATGGTCAACGAATTTTTCGACAGCCTGTTCCTGCTGGTCTACCCGCACTCGGGGAACCTGGGCGGCCCCAGACGTTCAGCGGAGATGACCGAGTGCCTACGGCTCGCCCGGCGGGACCTGAAGGTCTTCGGCAACTTCCCCAAGGTCATGATGACCCAGGTCTCTAAGTCTCTGCAGGCGACGCGGGTCTTCCTGCAGGCCCTCAACCTTGGCATTGAGGTGGTCAACACCACCGACCACTTGAAGTTCAGCAAAGACTGCGGGCGGGCGCTCTTGAGGATGTGGTACTGTTCCCATTGCCAGGACCTGCTGATGGCCAGGCCATGCGCGGGATTCTGCAACGTGGTCTTGCAGGGGTGTTTGGCCGGTGTGGTTGAGATAGACAGTTACTGGCGGGAGTACCTCCGTTCTCTGGAAGGGTTGACGAAAGGCATGCGGGGAATCTACGATATGGAGTACGTGCTTCTCAACCTCTTCTCCTCCGTCCGAGATGCAATTGCTTACATGCAGAAGAACGTGGGGAAGTTGGAGCCGACGGTAGGTTCCCCCTCCTCATTCTTGCATGCTGTTTGCTGGGTTATTTTTTAAAAAATTATTTTATTTTCCCAACATAAAACTTACAGATATACAAAAACAACATCTTTTTACACACACAAACACACACACACAGAGGGAGAGAGAGAGAGAGAGTGCTTGTAGGCTAAGCTTTACAATATGTATTGTTTTTAGATACAGATATGTATGCATATACATATATCTGTATCTGTATATATCTGTACCTAAAAACAATACATATTGTAAAGCTTAGCCTACAAGCAGTCTTGTATAGTAATACAGTACATTTCTTTCGGCAAGATCTTCTCCATATTATTCAGTTTACTCCTTTACTTTCTATTTGTTGCAAAGCTTTTATTTTCCACCATTCATAGAGTAGGTTTGTTTTCACTTCCCCTTTCTCCTTGAAAAGCACTGGAGGTGGCTGACCTCATTTAAAGACAATATTTTAAAGCTGAAAACTTGTGCGTGTGCAAATCCTAAAAAGGATCGAACATGTGCCACTCTGAAATACAGTAAACGAAAGCACCGCCAAAAGCATACGCAAAGCAGGAGGGCACAACCATCCTCACTCAGGCGGTCACTCAATTAAGGGAAAACTTGCCTGAAGAGAAAAGTCTTGGTCTGCTTGCGGAAATACAGCCAAGAGGGGGCCAGGCTGGCCTCCAGTGGCAGGGAGTTCCAGAGTCTGAAGGAGCAGCCACAGAGAAGGCCCTCCTTTCCTGTGTCCTCTCCAAGAATTCCTAGGATGGTGGTGGGACCGACAGAAAGGCCTTTCCTGATGCTCTTCACACCCAGACAAGCTCAGAAAGAGAGGTACGGTCCTTGAGATAGCTCGAAGCAAAAACATGTAGGACTTTGTAGGTTAAAGGTTAAACCAGCGTTTTGAATTGTGTCTGGAACCAGATTGGTAGCCAGTGGGGCTGCCGTAACAGAAGGTGTCCATCTGTGTTCGTGGCATGTGTGTTCAGAGAAGGAGGAGGGAAAAAATGTCTTTAATAAGGAAGAGATCACACTTCCTTAAGGTGCTTGTGTGTCTCCGTCGAATCGTGTGTGGAATCCAGCATCGAGTCGATCATCTTCTTTGCTGAACATAATGTCAAAAAATATAAAGGTCCATGTTTTGCAGCAAGCAAAAAATGGGGTGAGGAGATGGTGCTTGGCTCTCTAGGTATTGTTGGACTGCAACGCCCATCGTTGGTCACACTGGCTGGCGCTGATGGGAACTGTAGTCCAGCAATACCTGGAGGGTGGGGAACATCTAACGTCACCCTCTCTGGTTAGAAAGAGGCTTTCCTGAGCAGAAATGAAGATCCTTTGGTTTCTTCTACGGCTCTTTCAGGAAATTTAGTGGGGAAAGAAAAGGGAGAGCTTGGCAGAAACTGCCGGGAAACGTCTTCATTTTGTTCTCTTTCCCCATGGGAAGGAGGAAGATTTTCTCGGTTCAAGAAGGGCCTTGAGCGAAAGCAGCATCAAATGTGGGAGGCTTCCATCTCCTGTTTTCAGCGGGTTTTACACTGACCACCTCTTGAGGCAGAAAACTCTCGTCCGCATTAAATTTTATCTTAGCAGGAGCCGCCTCCTGTCAAGAGTGGCTGGTGCTGAGCTAGAGGGAGCGAAGGTCTGATTGTGGAGAACCGAGGTCGGGCGTCTTAGGCCCTCGGGCCGAAACCAGCCCTCTGGTTTGCCCCAGACCCCCCCCTTTCTCGGATAATCAAACTACAGGGGCTTTCCAGCGCGACCCTCCATGTCGAGAGGATGAAATTAAGAATGTAGATTTGTGTTTTGGTGCTACAACCCCCCCGAGAATGACCAGAATCAGTAGTTCAACCCCCCCACCCTCCCCACAAATTTGCCTCCTTCAGGATCAGTGAAGTTGGGTTAAGAGCTGTATGCTAAAATATGTTGGGTTTTTTTGCTTCCACCAAAATTGCTTGGGGCTTCCGCTCGTCATGGGAGTTCAGCTTCCCTCCAAAAAAATGTCTGATAAAGAATTTGGCCCCCACTTTGAAAGAGGTCTCCCGCTCTTGATGGAAAAGGCAGCTCCAGAGGATGATGGGCAGAGAGAGAGATGAAGGAAGTCACAGGTTGGGGGCCGAGAACGATAGGAAGAGGGGAGGATTTAACTTGCCGTTCCAGGAGGGGAAGGTATAAAGTGTGCTGAAGGATTTCTGCCTTACAGCCGTTCTCTAATTGCAAGATATTAGCCGGAAGATCCTTCGGTTTCTTCGGTGGGGAAAGCAGGTGGCTTTAAGGAAATGACTTTTCTGTTCTGGGATTAATAACTCGTGAACAATTTCCTGGTACATTAGAGGTAAACAAAGATTCAGATGGATAACCAGAGGAGACTCTTGATTAAGACACTGCGCAGAGAAAAAGGTGCTCAGCATTTTCACTGGTTTCTTGCTGTACAAATCTACGGGGAGGGGACGCAGCAAGGGGGGGGTGGAGGAGAAGCAATGGTCTTCTCAGGACACCAGGGTGAAGGGCCCAGAGCTATTTCCTGCAACAGAAGACACCTTTGTCTGCAATTGCAGGGTGCTTAATCGACGGTATTTGCTTCCAAAATGGTAGCATCACCGCTGACATGGCGTCGCGGCAGGTGTGAAGAAGAGGCATTCTGTCTTGTGTGGGAAATGACAGATGCCTCTTAGGCCTGTGGCAACACATGCCGGTGTGCCTAATCGGCTGCAGAGTTTTGAATTTTGGGTCAAATTCCTCTAGCTGCGCCACAGAAGTGCAGGGATTCGCACAGCCAAATAGCTTCGAGTTCCCTAATTTAGTCCACCCCTTTTCCTTTTCTGGAGAAAGAAGTCTTCTCTGGTTACCCAGAAGAAGGTAGATGCAGTCGGCAAAAACAAATGCCCCAAGAACCTCTGAAGATACCACCAGACTCTGTGCTTTTTGATGTAAACCAAACTAACTTTGCTAACTTCGATTTTACTTACTTTGTTTTGTCTTTTTGGATTTTGCCTGATAAACTTGCGCAGATTACTATGGCTACCTCTTCCAAAATTACTTACTCACGGTTTCCTATAATGTTGAATTGTTGTGCTCTTTTCAAAACGTTGTCTGGTGAATGTTGCTAAACTGTCCAGTGCAGTTCCATATGACTAAGGATCAAAATCTTGAACATTTCTGTTTTCCAGACTACGCCCCCCAGAATCCTCGGCCTTGTGGCTCGGGAAATTCTGGACGTTGTAGTCCTGAAAAGTAATTCTGTTTCGTTCTGCTGCAAGTTATGGACAGAAAATGTCTCCTTTTACCTTGCTTTCACGCTACCTTTAACAAGCCCAACGTGTCGCCTCTCATTAGGTGTTTTATTGCTAATGTGCCCAGTCAATTTTGAAATGGTCATTCACAGAGATGGGGAGGCTAGCTTACCTTTATGCCTGGTTATGCTTCTGTCTGAATTATTTCACACCGCAATATGGGGGCTGGAGATCAGAGAGTCCCACAGATGTTTTAAGCTGACCAGCCCTGCTCTGATGAGTAAGATGAGATGCCCAATTTAAACAGCCAATGGAGTTGCAAATAACCAGAGCTTTTCTGTCAACTGCAAGGTTAGCAAAGTAAGGGTTTTTGTATGTGGGCAAAACCCTTTCATTTTGTGTGAAAGGCTAGTTTTGTTTTGCTGGAAAACCTTGGTTTTTGCAGAAAGGAAGGGCACTCCTGGACGTGGAGAATGGGTTTCTAGATCTATCTGTGTCTTTCTACCTATAGGATGATGGAAGTGGCACATTTTGCATTTCGTATCTTTCTTTTGTGCCCACCAGTGCTGCCTCCTTTTCTTCTAACATATCCCGGTGTGAAATAGCACCTCCTCTTCCTGCAAATAAATTGAGAGCTGCTTTTGCAATAGTTTACAGCCGTAAGATATCACACATACGCTGCTGCCTGGATTTCAGAATGACCTCTATTGATTGGGAGTAAATGAACCAATTCTGCTCCCCTCCGCCAGCCCCAGCTTCCAATGGGCACCATTATTCATCCCTTAATTTCCACCCTAACTGTGAATTAACTCTTTGGCTCCCCAATCTCTGCCTCCAAGAACATCACAGAAAGGTGAGCTTCACCATTATCCCTCGTTCGAAACAGGCTTAGCTCTGATTTTCCCAATATGCTATTAGGTATGGCAAACAAAGTTGTAAATGGGGAAAAACTCTTTGGATTACTGTTCCCGGAATCTGAGATATAACTGGTCCATACCGAGGCTTGGAAAAGTTAGTTTTAATAATTGCAACCCCTGAAATTCCATAATTTAGCTGTGGAATTGCATGAAGTGTGTGAAACACAGAATGACATTTTACATGATCTGTTTTGTCTGGTACAAGATGCCATCTTTCTGCCGGGCAGGGATACTTGGAAAGGGGTATATATGTGTTTTTGTTTATGTGCATGGGTGCATATCCTTCCAGAATTTGCACTCCTGCTATCTGTTCTCTCTCCCCGTAGCATCTTCAAAGAAATGGGGATATTGCTAGTTATGAAAAAACAAACAAACAAACAAACACTGCTCCACTTTTCTGTCCCTTCCCGACAGTTTGGAGGAAGAGCAATGCACCAGAAGATTCCTTGCCCTCACTCTGAACTGGCTCAATTTGCCTTCACTCTGAATTGGCTGTTTTAACTTTCGCAATGTATTATTGGTTTTCCTACAAGCAAACAAGAAGGGAATGCAAAAAAAATAATAATTGGTGCTGCGGTGATAGAACAGAGTAGAAATAATGAGCATAAAGAGAAGTTTGTTCTCTTTCCAAGCACTGATCCTGGAAGCTGGTTTCTGCATTCATGTTCAGCTGCCCATCTGAAGGCAGTGCCTCCTGGAGGACAGTTTTGTCCGAAATCCCCGGCCGAAGGTCTAAAGAAGGCATCTCGCAGGTGCAGAGGGAGCCTGGGTAATATATTCCTGGTGGCTGGAAACTGTAGGGACGTTTCCCACATGTTTTCTTTCATGAAATTAAACTCTAAATCTAAACAGG